ACACCTCCCTAGAATCTCACTAGGGATGAACACCTCCTCTGAACAAATCAAAGGATGAAAAACACCTCCTTAGAATCCCACTAAGGATGAACACCTCCCTAGAATCACACTAGGGATGAACACCTCCCTGAACAATTCAAAGGGATGAAAACACCTCCTAAACCCACAAAGGATGAAGGAGTAAGATAAGAACAGTCACACCTGGGTAATGGAGACAACAAATTGTAGAAAATTGTAGAATGTCAATCTCCAAGAACAAGTGTGATTAACAATGAAAGTATAAAAGACAGTAAAGAAGAAGGTTTTTTCAGAAGGTGTAAAATATCTCTGTTGCCTTGCTTAGAATTCTTTTCTCAAAACTGATTGAATGTAAATTGTATTTTCGAATTCTGTAATTGTGTATTTTTTATTTTTCATCAAAACTTAATTAAATAGAAAAATAGTATCAGAAAATGGTCGTTGGACATTAATATTTTCGTGAATAAAAATCAGGATATATTCAAAAACATTTATTCTTTAAAACAAATATATTTTTCAAATTTGAATTGCCATAATTGATTATGTTACCAATATAATCAATTATGACAGAGAAAATCATTTTTCCATTTCTGATGCATCATAATTGATTATGACAAGTGAAAAATATAATGTTATGAATTTTATCACACTTGTGCTTTGGAGGCTTATGCATAATATTACTTCATCAACTTGTACCTCCATATCCAGTATTCTAAGACTCTATCTAGTCTTCAGGAATCATCTTGGGTTTGCTTGAATATTGAATAAAATCTTTATCAAAATCATATCTTGGGCTTGTAGGAAAATGTTTCATATTGTCACCAACGTCTTAAATTCATCTTGTCCTTAATTCATCTTGTAGTTTACTTGAATCATCATCAAAATCATCTCTTGGGAATGTAGGGACATTTCCATCAATCTCCCCCTCATTGCTTTCAACTTCCATATTTATCATATACTTTACCACAATAATATAATTAAAAGTTAATATACATATATTATTCTCAATTAATATTCAAATATAATATATATATATATATATATATATATATATATAATGAAAAAAATATATTCAAAAAATTTGTCCAAGTAAATTGAAATTACAAACCTCAAAGTAATGATTGAAAAAGTAAAATATATTATCATAGTAAAAAGTAATTTGTCACTTTCTTTATTACTTGAATATGAGAAGCACTAATATTTTTTACTCTTATTTTTTTCTATAAATAAATGAAATTCTCCTTAATGTAAATAATCCTTCATAAGTTATTTAATTATTTTTTTTAGTTATAAAAGAAATAGGCATCATATAAGTTTTTTATTAAGTAAACACTATAAGAAAAAACACTTTTAACGACCAAAATTAGCGAATAAATTTTTTCGGTCACAATTAGCGATCGATTTATTTCGATCGTAATTAGCGACCAATTTTACCACCAAAATATGATTTAGTTTCACTTTTTTATTTAACGACCAAAATAACGAATAATAGTTTGCATCGCAAAATTTCAGTCGCTAAATCGGTGGTTATTCCATACTAAAATAAAATAAATTATTTAACGACTGATTTAGCAACCGAATTATAAATTGAAATAGCAACCGATTGTAATAGCAACCGAATTGAAATTGATCGCTAATGAGAAAATAGCAACCGAATTGAAACCGATCGCAATAAACATTATTTTTATATTATATTTAAATTTATTTTTTTATAAATATACTTTAATTACTTTAGTATATTTTTTACAATGTTTTTTAAAAGTAATTTATTTTTTAAAAGTAATTTATTTTTTAAAATATACTTTAAAAATAAACTTTGGTCTCAATGTTAACAAAATGAAGATTAACTTTAATTTTAAATTATTAAAATAAAAATATAATTAAAAATAAATCAAATTTATTAAAAATTTAGATTATAATAAATTAAGATTGGAGTGATATTAACTATTCAATATATTGTTTAACAAAAATTTAATAACAAATATTCTTTAATATATTTTTCAATTGAAAATTTCAATTGAAATTAAATTATAATTTAAATATTTATATTAAAAAATTGAAGACATCAAATTACCACATTTTAATTCTTTATTAACTTAATTAATTAAAAAAATTACAATTTCAATCAAATTATTACAATTTTATTTTATAATACTTTATTTTTAATCTAGTTTTTAAATTTATTGCTTTATTATTATTAATTGCTTAATCATGGTTGTTTTCATATATACCAGAAAAAAATTTATATCAAAATATAATTGATATACATTAGATAATAAATATATTATTTAATTAAATTATTTATAAAAATATAATTATTTTTAGTTGAAATATATTTTGCATACAATGAGAATACTAATTAATATTTTTCATTTTTAACATAATTAATAAGAAAGATTAAAAATAGACTGCTAGAAAAGTTAAAAAATTAAAACTAATCCATTTTATAAATACTAAAAATAAACCATATTTAAATAAATTAAAAATATATTTAAATCTATATTCAATACACCTCCAATTTTGCTCAATAAATGCATAGATCATGTTTGGAAACTTCATCATCTGAAATAACTTCAAAATTATTAACTATTTTTTTTCAAAGTCAAGTTTTTGTTGTCAGCTTCTTCAAAAAAATAGTTAATATAAGTTAAGGCTGTATCTTTTTAAAATTTCAATTTTTTTTATATATTGGGTTTTTATTAAAAAATTTCTAAAATTGATAAGAAAATGGAGATTTAATTATACTTTTAATAAATTTAAGATAATACTAGTTTTTATTTTTATTTTTAAATATTTATTTTTATTTTTTAAAATAGAGAAACTATAATTTTAGTTTCTAAATACTAAATTTAAAGAATTAAATTTATTATTATTTAATCTCTTAAATTTAGTATAAAAAATTTATATTATATTTTATTAAATTAAAAAAATTACAATATATTTTTCTACTTTGAGAATTAAAAATATAATTAAACTAAAATTGAAAATATTATAATACATTTTTGAACTTTTTTTAATAATATTTTTATCATTTTTATATTTTTGGATTAATTGTTTTTTTCCTAATTTTTTATAAAGTCAATTTTAATATTTAAAAATATTTAACATTTTGAATTCTGAATCTTTTTCTCTCTTAGCAAATTTAAAAACATAATATACTAAAAAAATATTATACATAATTATTTCATCCGAATTTTTAATAATATGATAAGTTATCAAATTCGCTTTTTCTTCTTTCATGTCTTTCCTTTTTTATATAAGTGTTTGAATTTATAAAAAAAATTATCTACAAAATTCACTTCTTTAATTTCTATCTTCACATTTGTTAATTATTTTTTTTATAGTTATGAAGGTCAAGATTGATATATACACTTAAATATATTATAAATGAAGAATATTTGTTCATTCTAGTTTTTTTTTTCAACCTATAATTTTATTATTTTTATTTTAAAATATATTTTATATTTTTTAAAATTAATAATTTTAATCTAGTCATCTAAATCTTTGATGTGATGATTCTAATTAATTGATATTATCAAATGATTTTATTTGATTTGTTATAGTAAAAATCATCAAAGTAAATGTTAAAATAATATTAATTATTTTAAATTGTAACAAAATAAATAATAAAAATAGAAAATAAAGTATCCTATAAAAGAAGACTAATTATTGTAAAGATAAAATAGAATATGGGAGGAGATGATGATGATTATGTTGTAGAAATGATAGAGTTTTAAAAAAATGTAGAATGTGAGAAGTTTAAAAAGAAAAAAAGAGTTAAAAAAGGATATATACATAAGTAATTTGATTAAATTTATTATCCCCGTATATATTATTATACATTAGCATAATTTTAGTTTAATTAAAAATTAAAATACAAATATACTATACTGTACTAATGTACCAATATATTATAATATTTGTAATTTATTTTCATTGTGTATAAATTACAAAACTAATAATTTTTAAAAAATTTAATGATACTTTTTTAAACTTATGTATTACAAAATATTTTTTAATATTTTAATAAATATATTTGTTTTTAAATATATTTTATCTATTTAAAGTATAATTTTTTGATATTTTTTAGTATGTTTTTAAATGTGGATATCTTTAATATTTTATACATGTAAATATAATTTATATATGTTTTTAAACCATTTTCTAAAATTTGTTTTTAAAAATATAATATTATTTTTAATATTTAATATTTAATATTTATATTTTAAATTTAATTTTTTTTTTGATATTTAATATTTGTTTTTAATATTTAATATTTATTTTTCTATAATTTATTTTTAAAAATATAATATTATTTTTAATAAAAATCCCCCGGAAACCTTTACTCACCCTTAATGAGACCTTCACTCACGAGTCTTTTTCTCCCATTTTACGTTAGCCGCCAGCCCAACCACCCACTCTCTAGGCATCCGCAGCCTGCATCTAAATACCCCAACCATGCATCGAAATACCCCCAACCATCCTGTGACCAGTATCTCCTCCTCACTTACAGCGAGTCCTAGCTCCCTTAATAATAAAATAATAATAATTAAGATAAAAGTAATTTAAATAATTATAATATTTTAAATAATAATAATAATAATATTTATAACAATAAATATACAAGTAGTAATTATTATTATATTAATAATAATATTAATAATTATTTTAATAATAAAAATAATAATTATAATCATAAAAATAATAATTATTATAACAATAATAATAATCATATTAATAATTAAAATAAAAATAATTTATATAATTATAATGTTTTAAATAATAATAATAATTTTTATTAAAAGAATAATGTTTGGATTCAGACTATAAATGCTTTCTTTTGAGAGCTCTCTACTGTGTGAACTTTTTCCAGTAAAGAAGCTTTCAAAATCCCGTTGTTTGTTTGTTTCAATTTCTGAATTTAGGGTGAATTAACAAAATTTAAATGACAATCTGTTCACGTTGGTATGCTATGATTATAGATGGGAGTTCAACGGCATGAAGCGCTTGCTGAAGACGAGCCGGCTGAAAATGCTTGTGCCAGTAGTTCTTTGAACCAAGGTGCTCTTCCCAGTGAGTTTGCCAGCAACAATCCATGTGTAAATAGATTTCTGGTGGTCTTTGTGAAACTTTGGCAATTAGATTGGAAATTTGCTTTGGGATGCTTATTAGGCCAGTAAAATAGACTCAGCCTTGAGTTTAAATCAATGAGTTGAATCTTTAAGTTGCCAAACATATTTCAGAAGATTGAAATCAATGACTCAGCCTTAATGTAGTTAACAATTTATCCATTTTTTAAAAAATACTAATTTTGTAAATTGCTCTCTCCTCTCTCCGAATCTTTCCTTTCCCTGTTATTGTATGTTCTCTTGTAGCAAATAACAAGACAATTCAACCAACAAGAACATAGGAAAAACCAAGTAGAAGGAAAATAATTATATTGTACAAAAAAAAAAAAAAAAGACTCACTGCTTGACATGATAGTCAACCTTGGCACATCTGTTCTAAATTCAAATTTAGGTATTAATGTAGATTAGCTTCCTATATTTAGCTAACCAGAGATCAACAGTGTCGATCATATAGAAGCATCAAACATATGAATGTGCGCACTAACTTATCTATTCAAATCTTAGCTTCTTTCTTTTGTATTTGGTTCCCTTTATTGTATTATACTGCTATCACTAGATTATTTCCAATCCACTTTCAGAGTAACAACCGGAAATGGTTAAAGAAAGTGCAACAAGATTGGAACATACTGCAGAATAACCTTCCTGGTCAGTGATACATTTATTTGATCATCCATCTTTTGCAGCAGTGAGTTATACACCCATTTTAGTAAAGTGTAAATGTTTGAAACATTTTGACAGAGGAAATCTATGTACGAGTTTATGAAGATAGAATGGATCTCTTAAGAGCAGTTATTGTAGGGCCATATGGAATCCCTTACCAAGATGGACTCTTTTTCTTGGATTTTTACCTTCCGCCACAATACCCTGATGTTCCACTGGTAAGGAATTTTATCTTGAAGATGTTTTGCTGTCCAATTTATAATTCCCTCACCAAAGAAACAGAAGATACTTAAATGCTATTTATTTAATCCAAATGGGCATGCATATAACGCCTTTTCTGTTTTGTCTAGTTTTCAAATGATATGCAGTCTGCATGCTATCATTCTGGTGGTTGGCGGATTAACCCTAATTTGTACGAGGAAGGGAAGGTTTGCCTTAGCCTTCTAAATACATGGACAGGCAGAGGAAATGAAGTATGGGATCCAAAATCCTCTAGCATTCTTCAAGTCCTAGTTTCACTGCAAGGTTTAGTACTCGACTCTAAGCCTTACTTTAATGAAGCTGGGTATGATAAGCAGATTGGAACAGCTGAAGGAGAGAAAAATTCATTGTCATACAATGAGAATACATTTTTACTTAACTGCAAGACTATGATGTATCTCATGAGAAAACCCCCCAAGGTAATAATGAATGAGATTATAAAATTTTCATTTCATCCTATTCATTTTATTGAATACTGTTCATATTTTATCATGATTAGTTAATTAGTTAAAAGAACTATTGTATTGTGTCTACTTTTTTTTCCAGTAGAATGAGGGTTTGTATATAGTTCGTGTCTTCGTTACTAAAACTCCTAAAGTTTGATCACATGGTTAGCAAAGAAGCAGAAGCCTATTCTAGAGAACTTGCATGTTTTGATTAGCTTATTTTGGAAATATTTCTTTTTGCTAATTTATTTTGGGAATATTCCTAAATGCTGAATTGATGGCAAAACATGATAAAGAGAAAACACTTCAAGAAGAGATGCAGAAGTTGAGGAACAATCAACGCCAACAAGATGAGCAGATGAAACAAATGCAACTTATTTTACAACATATTTAGATGAATAGTCTTCCTATGCCTGACCCTAGTCATCCTACTACAAGTCAACATGATATTGACAATATATTAAATGACTAATTTCCAATTTTATCATATTAAAACTTTGAATCTTGATTGATTGTTTAGAAACATTTTATTTATGGTATGACTTTGAATCTTAAGTGTTTGCATGACTTTGAAATGTTCCTATTATGATTTGAATAATTTGACTTTAGTTCTTAAGTTTTCCCTTGTGTTTTGTTTGAACCAATTAAGCAAGTACAAATTCTCGCAAAATTGGATATACAAAATTTGAAAAAAAAAATTTTAGATTTGGTTAAATTAGCGATCGAATTTTCGGTTGTTACAAATATATTATAATATACAATTTAAATTTAGCGACTGAAATTATTCTGTGGCTATTTTTGTGACCTATTTAGCAATCGATTTAAATTATTATTTAAATATTTTAATTAATGTATTAGTGCCCAATTATATTGGTTTTTATTTTTTTAACTTTATCACTGATTTAGTGACTGATTTAATATATTAATTTCGGTCGCTATTTTTGCGACCGATTTTAATTATTATTTAAATAATTCAATCAATATATTAGCGATCGATTATATCGGTCGCTATTTTTTTAACTTTGTTATCGATTTAGCGACCGATTTAAGATATTAATTTCGGTCGCTATTTTGGTATCTAAGAAATAAGTGACCGAATAATTTAACGATCACTTTATCGGTCACTTATTTTGCGACCAGAAATGAAAATCGGTCGCTAACTGAATTAACAACTTGACATTTTGCAACGACAAATTTCGATCGCTAATTTTGGTCGCTAAATGATTAGTGACCAATTTTTTGATATTAGCGACCGAATTTTTTGGTCGTTAAACCTGTTTTTCTTTTAATGAGATTCACGATTATTAATTTAATCAAACATAGTAAATTTTTTTATGTTAAATAAAATAAAATAAAAACTTATTTTTTCATCGTCATTTTAATAAATGTTGACATGTATATACGAGACTAAGGTGTTTCAGTTCACCAGATTGTTTCTTGCGTGTCAGTGGATTCAGCAGCAGCTCAAAAGATTGACCTATATCGAGAATCTCTGGATCTATGCTTATTTTCAACTCCCCGAAGCATTTTGTCGCTTATTACGCCCTTTCTGGTCTCTGGGTGCCTAGGTATCCACCATAAGCCTTTCTTCGTTTGAACATCGCCCTTAACTTGAAGGCTATGTCATCCTAAGGTGCTGCTAGATGGAAGGATCTTATCAACGTCCATGAATGAGATCATAGTATAGATCAAACTACCGAATCAAAAAAATAGAAGTGTTATAATATAGTTTTGTATCGACTAAGTTCACAAGTTGAAGATAAGCGGACTACGAGATTGTACAGGTACATCCCTTAATTTTGTTACAATTATTATTAAGTATTTGAATTTTTTTTTATTTTATCCTTCTAATATGATATATTTGAACTACTGGTCATTGCTCTAGGATAAACCTATATGTAATTAAGAGTGTACAAATACACCACTTGACTTGAAAAGTAAATTGTTCTTCATGACTTAAGGTGGTGGATTCGCCACTTCATTACACCCAATGTTTATTATTTTGTGAAAGCTCTTTGTCATTTTCTTCATCACTCTCTACTACTCTTCGCCATTTTTGCCCAACTATTGATTCTTCTTCAAAATCATCACCATGTTTCTTTATCGTTTGGGTTTTCTAAAAATTAGAAGGTTCTATCATTTAAATTTTCGTTATCTTTTGCATTTACTTGTTTTATAATTTGTTCTATACAAACAAACTCATGCCAACAAGATCAGTAGTACCACATATACCAATGACACTCATACCTTATTGTTTCAATATTCTAGGACAATTGACAATTACATATAAATACAAAATTGAAGATTAGACAATTTAATATATTCTTATTAGATTTGTTGAATGAATTAAAATATAAAAAGTTAGATAGAATTACTTGGAATTTTCATATAACATCATCTTTGGTTTACTGTTGTTCTACATCAAGTAATTACAAATTGTATCATTGTATTTTTTTTAATAGATATTGGTGAACCAAATATATTGCATGCAAAAAATAGAATAAAATTGCATATATTATTATTATTATATCTATCTTCCCAAAATTTATTAAGTATATTTTCCGTCCATAATTTATTTATAGATCCTCTACCATTTTGGTTGATCCATCATATCTCTATATTTTTAACTTATTTAAATTTTGGTTTTCATATTTTAAATTTGGTTTGAACTTTCTAAGCTGTCTATATTTATGAAAATTATAAAAACAACATAAAAATCCATAAAAATAATCATAGAAATTCCATAACAATCATGGAAATTTGTTCTCTCAATCATATTTGTTATAATTGTTGAGTTAATATATTTATATAGTTTAATAAAATTAAGTTTTAATAGGATTAATATATCGATACAATTAGTTAATTTGAACTAAGTTCTTTATTTTTTAAATATTTGTTGTTTGAACTCTCAACTAATTCAAAAACAAGCTACTTTTTAAGAAGTAAATTTTTCTACTAAATTTGTTCATGTTGAATTTCTCTTCTAACTTTTATTATTCATTTTAATGATAATTTGTATAATTTAAAAACATAGATGGGTATCTAGGTGATTTAATACATTCAAGAAGTTTCTCAAATTTGAATGATGTTGTTTACCGTTTATTTAGGTATTTCCTCTAATAAATAAATCATTAAAATTTTGTAACATTGCTCTTAGCATGAAATTTTTTGTCTTATTTTTTATTTTATGATTTTCTCATTATATATTTTATCACAAAGTTTATTGATTTTTTAAGAATATCGCAAGGTTCACCTAATTTGTTGTTGAACATTCAAGGACTTGATGTTGCAAATAATGATCATGAAGAATGTTGATTTTGATGATGATCCAAGAGCTTAAAGACTTAGAGTATTGAAGATTGAAGATTGATGATTTCTATATTGTAATAACTCTGTTTTAGCTTGATTGAGTCTGTAATTTTAGAGTCTAAGATAGCCGGTACATAGTTTGTATCTTAGATGCTTCAAAATGCTCAAATTTATCATTCAGGCTCGGCTTTAATCGATTAAATAAGTATATAATCGATTAAAGCAGTGAGAAAACCATTTTACGTCTAAAACTCACGACTTTAATCGATTAAACGAGCAAAATAATCGATTATTCCGTACAATTCAGTACGAGATAATCGATTATTTCATCAAATAATCGATTAAACCAGGAAGGATTGGGTTCTGACGTATTTGACTCTGTTTTAATCGATTATTACTCCAAATAATCGATTATTTCAGTCTGTTTCTGATTTTAAACATCAAACAAACCCTATTTTCGAAAACCCAATTACCAAGAACCCTAGTTTCGAAATCCCCAAATCCTAAACCATAATTTCCCTACTTAAACTCTCCTTTGGCACTCAGAAATGAAGAACAACCTTTTCCATACAAAAGTTAAGTGTTGTGAGTGCCAGAGAACTGTTTGTTGCAAGGAAAGGGGGCTTTCTGAACCTGGTGTGGGCTAGAAGCGATAAGAATCACTAAGTGAAGTTCTTAGTGGATTGTGTGCTGTGCCAGTCTCCGGGGAAAGTCTGTTCTTCATCTCTTGGGGCTTTCCGAACCTGGTGTGGGCTAGAAGCGATAAGAATCACTAAGTGGAGTTCTTAGTGGATTGTGTGTCTGTGCAGTCTCTAGGGAAAGTCTGTTCTTCATCTCTTGTGGATTTCAAGAGAGGTGTTTTCCGATCTTTATCTGTTCATTTGTAATCTGTTTGTAACAATTTGTTCTTAGTGACGAGCGTTAATCCTCTTTTGAGTGATTAGCAGCTGGACGTAGGGTCTTTTGATCCGAACCAGTATAAACCTCTTGTGTAATCTTCTCTACTCTTCTCTATTTACATTTACGCAGTTTTTAATCGGTAAAATTTGGGGAAAATTTTGAAAACCTAATTTTTATTAAGAAACCAATTCACCCCCCTCTTGGTTTTTGTCCAGACCACGCGAACATTCGCTGCGCGATTCTAACAAGTGGTATCGAGCTTGCTTTGATAGTCATTCAAATATTTTCGAAAATGGCCGGACAAAATCAAACTTTTGCTGAAGGTGCGTCTATCAACGGACCCCCACTTTTTGCGGGTCAAAATTATCCTTTTTGGAAAGTACGTATGCAAATATTTTTAGAGTACGTTGATAGAGGCGTTTGGGATGCAATTTTAAACGGTCCATTTGTTCCTAAAATTACAGAAAACGGTGTTGACGTTCTTAAACCTTTTGATAGATGGACTGCCGAAGAAAGTCGAAAAGCACAATTTGATGTTAGGGCTAGAAATATTATTTCATCTGCTCTAACCCTTGATGAGTTCTACAGAATTTCTATTTGTAAAAGTGCACAGGAAATGTGGGAAATGCTTAGAGTGACCCACGAAGGAACTAACGACGTCAAAAGAGCGCGTAAAAACTCCCTAATCCAAGAATACGAGATGTTCGGATGCAACCCGGCGAAACGATTTTCGACGTTCAAAAGTGTTTCACTCATATTGTGAATCATCTCATCGGATTAGGTAAAGTATTTGACGTTGATGAATTAAATGTTAAAATTTTGAAATCTCTGGATAGGAAATGGCAACCTAAGGTGACGGCCATCTCGGAGTCACAAAATCTTGCCACTATGTCTATGGCGGCGTTATTTGGAAAGCTAAGGGAGCATGAGCTTGACCTTGGAAGGCTAAATGAGGAAGAGGGTCAATATCAAAAGAAGAACCTAGCTTTCAAGACCGAGATTTCAA